TGACTCTGCACCATCTCAGGGTCTACACATGGTAGTCTGGCGTCTTGCTGCTGCCTCTCTACAACCCCAGTGAGAGACTTGTCGTGCCCCTCACTTAGGAACACTGAGGCAAAGAACTCGTTGAGGAGTTCAGCCTTGTCCCCTCTGTCTGTCACCAATTGTTTCTGCCCATTTAGCAGGGGTCCTATTCCTCCCTGGGCCTTCCTTTTACTCCCAATATATCTAAAAAACAATTTCTTGTTGTCTTTTACTTGGGTTGCCATCCTCAGCTCCATGGCAGCTTTGGCCCGTCTAACTGCCTCCCTACAAGCACGAGCAGAGGAGGTATATTCATCTTTGGTGATCTCTCCCTGTTTCCACTTTTTATGTTCTCCCCTTTTGTCCCTTAGGCTGCCCTGGATTTCTCTGGTCAGCCAGGGAAGCCTCCTGGCCCCTTTCCCCCTTTTGCCTCGCTCGGGGATCGTCTTGCTAAGATCCCTTTCCAGCCTGGATAGGTAGCTATCACCCCCACCCTCTCTTCAACCAAGGACTTGGACTGTTTTTCTTCCCTACCTGGACTCTGACCCTTCCACTGAGTCTCCTTCTCCTGCTGCCATTGTGTGTGTGTGTGTGTGTGTGTGTGTGTGTGTGTGTGTGTGTGTGAACCAATAACTTCATGGGGCTGTGTAGTGTGTTGTCTGTTTAATATACCTGTTATTGTGAAACCCCAAGTTGGATTTTTATCTGTTTTATGACTGTTTCCTCCTTGCCACCACATAGCTGCCCCCCAAACTCCCAGCCTTCAGCCTCTGTTTCCAGCCCCAAGCTCCCAGGTTTCTGCCTCAGTTTCTTTCCTGGCTGTCTCCTCCTTGCCACTGGGCTTTTTCCCTTGCACCAGTGACCTTGAGTAACCCTGGGGCCACTTGACCTTAAGTAACCCCAAGCCTCAGTTCCTCAGCCCAGCCCAGCTTCTCTCTAGTCTACCAGTTTTAACCCCAGTTCCAGCAACTTTCACTCCTTACACATTCTTTCTCACCTTAACCTTTTAGGGTTTATAGCTACAGCTAAAAACAATGTTCTGGCTGTGAAACAGACATGCAACATTACAAGGAATAGCTAACAGCAAAATTGCAGAAAAAAGAATAGCTTGAATAGTGTAACATTAAGACTATTAAATAGGAGTCAGGGTCATTAATTCTTGTGATTGAAGAGAAATTAGCAGGAATCAGGTAGATTATAATGAATCATGAAGCCTGTTGAGTCCCTTGGTACTTCCTGAATAGAAATGTCACTGCCCCTCCCAGGCAGGCAGTTTTAAAGTTTGGGTAGAGCGAGAATCAAAGTGGGTCTGCCCCTGACTTCTAGATCTGCCCCTGACTGCAGCAGACATTGCTGTAGGTAAGCCAGAGCTCAGGGTTTTCATTTCTCCACCAGGTAGTGGTACTAGATGTTGTGGTTCTATGTCCCAGCTGCCTGCAGAGGGTTCGAGGATTGAGAGTGTGGTCGGGGGTAGAAAGGTAAGAAAGGTTTATTGACTTAACAAAAACACAACTATGTGTAGTAACAAAACAAACAATGACAGACAAAAGCAATTAGCATCGGCAACTTATCGGCAGTCCCCTCTGATGCCTGATACACAGCAAGCTTCTCTTTCCACAAAGTTCAGTGAAGTCAGGAGTCCCTGAACAGCGCTGTCTGAGGGGTACCAGGAAGGACCCTGGAATACAGTTTTTGGGCTCCTTGAGGTCCACGGGCCCACTGATCTAGGCAACAGCTAACTAATTCTTTCCATAGAGCTGTATCTTCCTTCTGCATGGTTTCCAGATATTCTAGCTAATTTATAGCTTCTGAATGGTTCTGATAACGAATGACCACTCAGATTCCTTTTACTTCAACTGTCGTTAGAGTGACCAGTAGCAGTAAAGGCTTGCATTCCTTTGATAAGGTAATTTTAACAACACCACAAGGCCTTACTACTTCAAGGCTTTGCTAAATTTACTAGGCCTTACTTTATACAAGGCCTCACTACATCTTAAACTTTAATTAGGCTTTTAGCAACAACATATAGCTTAATATCTAAACAAATACAGAAAAACACTTGGTCTAATCTTCATAGAGCCTTTAGCAAGTACCTTTATCACACAGGCACACTTTTTCAGCTGTCACACCCTCCTGTCTAACAGCACAATATTGTGATCCTGAGAGTTGGCCTGGCCCCACAGGGCAACAACAGAGGCTGCCTGCATGAGCTGCCACCAGGTTGTGCCCGAAGGAACCAAAGGCCTGAAAAAATCTATATAAACTTAAACAAAAATGTCACAATTATTAGATGAGAGTTTCTTTTTGCTTTGTTTTATTTTTCTTTTAAAAAGGCAGAGGATTATGGAACATCCTCAGTATCTTATTAAGAAGTTTAGGAGGTAGCAAGGGTACAGTCCATGCAGCACCCCTCAAAGCCCACCATGTCATGCTGCAAGACCCGCCCTAGACCACATGGTAGTTATGACCTATCAGGCCCCAGACTGCTCTAGCCCCCAGGCACAGGCGTGGCCTATGGGGTGGCGGTGGAGTGGTGTGACCCATCTAACAACCTGCCCCACCACCCTGACCAATTGGCAGGGGTTTCAGGGGCCTTGGACCTCCCCAAGAATGACGTTGAACCAACTGGAGCGCGTAGAGGGGTGGGGCTTAGGTTGCAAGACCACCAAATCTATCTGCTTTCCCAAATGTCTGAGACTTGAGCAGATAGTGTCTGAGTGTCTTATCTGTTTGTCGGAGACTGTGCTAAGGCAAGCAGGGGTGGATATGGATTCTTTCACAATGCCTGTAGGCCCCCTCACCACAACCCCAAGACAGCCGCATAGAAAGCATTACTGTAGAAACAATTTTGAGGAGTAGGGCAGGCCCCTAGCCCAAAGACTCTTTGAGATGCAACCCTGTTCAAGAAGACCCAATGAACAGGCAAACAGAGGAGGCCCAGGCCTCCGAAGCAGACGTTGAGAATTTGGAAGATGGCATCTTTGTGCCAGAGCCTGCATGTGAAGTAGAGGTCATCGCAGAGGAGAGGTCGGTAAGAGACTTACTTGGAGCGTGGTTGTGGGGGTGGGGTGGGGCACTTAGATTTTGATGGTAGTGGTGTGGGTTCACTTCACAGCACATGTCTATTTGGAAGTAGCTAAGGACTGATTAAACAGCAGCTAACTAAGGCCTTTATTTAAACTCCTTTGCACTTAGATGAAGCCTTTTTAATGACTACAGAAAGCCTACTCACCAATACACCCATACAGCTGACACCAGAAGGAAGCATATGCCTCTGCAGAGAAGAGAGACTGGATGAGGCTGAAGAGTTCAGAAGACAATTAGGCATTGAATCATCAGGTCCTGTTTCACATCAAGAACGTAAAATCTTCATGAAGTCTCTTGTGCGCATGTAGTCATTGCCCATGAATGTCTGGCGGAGTTCTGATACAATTTCTTCTACCCCTGTGCTTATGGCTTCGTATGCCACATGTAGTGGCATGTGCTCCAGATTCACAAAACGGAACTCCTCTGTGTACCTCATGCCCCCAAACCTGGCTACAGACCACTCTTGCCTTCTCACCTGCACCATATGTACATCCACTAAAACATCCTCTGCTGACTCAGGGGACTGGGGGGAGCTTGAGGGGTCCTCTAACATGCCTTCTACATGGATTCATTATCCCAGCTCTCTGACTCTTCAGGTCTTGGTGGTGGGTCAGGCCTGGGAGGCCGGGGAACATTTGAGGGGCCCCGTAAAGGACTTCCTAAATCATAGTCACCATCTCCCCTCTCTGGCTTGGCTCCATGGGTCCTGGGGGAGGGTCAGGCCTGCGAGGAGGGGAAGCGATTGAGGGGCCTTCTAAAGCGCCATTACTAGGGGATCTCATTGTTTTCTCAATTGGTGTTTAGCCTTCCCCGCACTCGTCTTTAACCAGGCACTTACTTTTTGCCCCGCGAGCCACTTGTTAGTTAGCCACCCATTATCATAGAATCATAGAATCATAGAAGTAGGGTCGGAAGGGACCTTGTAGATCTTCAAGTCCAACCCCCTGCCTGGGCAGGAGGAAAACTGAGCTCAAATGACCCCAGCCAGGTAGGAATCGAGCCGCTTCTTAAAGACCCCCAGAGTAGGAGCCAGCACCACTTCCCTTGGAAGTTGGTTCCAGATCCTAGCCACCCTAACTGTGAAGTAGTTCTTACGGATGTCCAATCTAAATCTACTGTCCACCAACTTGTGGCCGTTATTCTTTGTTATCCTGGGGGTATCTGGGTGCGTCCTGTTTTTTAAATAAGTGCAGTTCTTTGGTACCATCTAGCAGTTCGATGTCTCTGGCCCCTCTACATTTTGTAACAGCCAACAGAGCCTGCAAAGCACAGGTTAGTATCTTAGGTATTCAAATCGATTAAATACTTTCTCTTTTTTGCAATGATCTGGGAATAGGGGATAGAGCTTACATTGGCCACGCCTCTCACAGTGACCACAACCAGCTGAAATGTACAGTTGAGCAATATTTCTCTCTGGCTTTGTAAGAGGTTACTGATCTACTCTAAAAACAGCTCTGGGGTCATCTGGTTTAAATTAATAGATCAAAAGTGTAAACAGTTTGCCATGCTATCTGCCTGAATACATGTTTTTGAACATGGATATGTGCTAGAAGCACCCCTTTTCTGTGATTTTGGCAGGCCCTAGCAACTGTGGTAAAAGTTACTTTATTTAAAACCTTCTGGATCACGCTGATAGAATGCTGTCTGTTATGCCTGAGAATATCGTGTGGTGCTATAGCTGTTGGCAGCCTTTGTATAAAGAACTGCTTTGTAAATATCCTTTTATCAAGTTTGTGGAGGGGTTACCGGACAGTCTCAACAACGACTGTTTGTTTCTTCCTAATAAAATAAATATGGTTGTGGTAGATGATGTGATGGACTCTGCTTGTGACAGTGGTGAAATCAAGGAAGCCTTTACCAAGTATGTGTATCATCGGAATCGTAGCATTATGTACATAATTCAAAATGTTTTCTGTCAAGGGAAAAGGAGCTGCAGCATTACCCTTAACACAAAATACATGGTTTTGTTTAAAAACCCCAAGGATAAGCTACAGATAGTGTCCCCAGATGTACCCAGGTAAGGCCCAGTTCTTTCTAGAAGCTTTTGAGGATGCCACTGAAACACCTTACGGGTATCTGGTGGTAGATTTAAACGCTTCTACCCTGAACACTTTTAGATTAAGAACTGGGCTTTTTCTTCTCGACCAACCGGCTGCTTAGACTTTTAAAAAAACAGCGGGTAGGAATAAAAAGAGATGATGTAGTGGAGCCTCTTCTTAGCTCTCAAGACAGTGGAAGGGAAACATGTCTAACCGTGTAAAAAGAAATTTGGCTCTCTTTAAACAGCTTCTTCAATCCTCCCCACAGCAGAGAAAAGCTATACTCTGCTCAGCCTCTGACGATTTAGTAGCGGCCATTGCAGAAATTGCTCTGAACACCTTAAAAGAAAACATCCCTTTCACACCGCATTAAATTCGCGTGCTGAAAAAGAGATCATTGTGACGGCGGCGTGCCGCCATTATGGGCACAGGGTGAGGCAAGGAAGGGTTGCAGGGCAGACGCAACCCCGAGACAGAACCCCGGATGGGATTACTTACCTCCGGGGGAGACGGTGGCGTTGGAGCCAAGACCATGGCAGCAGCCGCA